GTTGTCTTCCATTCATTTCAGATCATTAAACAATTGGATGTTTTCCCCCCATCTTCTAGATGGACAAATTGTTCCACATATAACAAGATGGAGATCTGGGCTTAATTCCTGGCTCTTCCTCAGACTTCCTGTGTAACCTTGGGTGGGTCACCTAGTCCCAGATTTTCACACTCACTCAACCACCCAGCTGCTCCCTTTCTGAATAATGGGTCTGGTGTTTGAATTCCAGGCCAAACCAGGGCTTGGCTTTGATGGCACCGAAGTCTCAAGATCTGTTCTCACAGGCCTCCATCCCCAAATGACAACACTTTGGTGAGATCAGTTGCTCTTAGGTGGCTTCCACCACCAATGATGGAAAACTCAGGAGAGCTCTGCCTCCTTTAACTGCACCCAGATTAAATCTAGATGAAGAGGCCCTTTTCGGTCTGGAGCCATCCAGAGCCCAAAACAACAGTGGTAAGTTCAAATCTAAAGCCCAGTGTATGTGGAAATGGCACCGAGTTACGAAAACCTGTCTCTACGTAAAATTAGTTAAATCGGTGCACTCTTTTTGTGTGGACACTCTTAAATCATTTTAGGCCTGGTCTACCCCAGTTTTTATATTGATATTACTATTTCGGTGAGGGCTGTGATTTTTCACTGAAATTGTTATACCAGTAGCATGGCTGTAGTTATTCCAGGATAGATAGTTGCCCCCCTTCTGGTAGGAGAATAACCATAAGGCAATTTTATACAAATATAGCAACGCCCACACTGCAGGGAGTGGGTTGTATCATTTTAACTAAACCAGTAAGAGTGGCTGATATCTTTGTGCTGATTTAATTACATTGATTTAATTAAATTGGTGCAATTTCTGTGTGTAGACCGGCCCTGAGGCTAATATCAAGGGAAGAAAATAAAAGAAACGTATGTACCAATTTTACAATCACTACGAATTGTTATGCTGTAGTTACTCTGCTCACCTCTGTCTGTCAAAACTAATTTACCTCATCACAATCTTCAGGTACAGAGCAATTTTCCTTCTATCTATCTTTGTCTTGTTTACAGATTGTTATTCCATTACAAGAACTGCTTGGAGGAGCCAGCATATATTCCCGTGAGTTTCAATCCGGTGTTTTTCTGTTCCCCTGATGTGACAATGCCAGGTACAGTGACTGAATGATGTTCTGCCCCAGTGGAGAAGACCTAGCACAAGTGAAAACCAAGATCTTCTCTCCTCTCTGGGCCTGTCTATACTGGGGGTATTTGTACTGATTCATAAACATAAAGTAAGGTTAGAAAGTAGGAGCGGCAGAAGCACCCTAAAAGTGGGGGGCCATAGGTGTCCAAATCATGGCCTTGCCCCCCCCCATGCTGCGCTGCCCCCCAAGGCCCTGCCCTTGCACCACCCCTTGTCCCTGAGCCCCCGCCCCTCATGCTGCCCTTTCCCCCAGGCCCCACCCATGTGCCGCCCCTTCTCCCCAAGCTTCTGCCCTTGCTCCGACCCTTCCCCTAAGGCCCCGCTCCCTCCCCCCACCATCGCTCGCCCTTACGGCTGGTAAAAAGTAGGCGGA